CAGTCCAGCTCTCTGCTGTGGCCCGGGAAGGCAGTGGAGGATGGCCCAAGTGCTTAGGCCCTGCACCCACATGGGAGACCCGGAGGAAGCACCTGGCTCCTGGCTTCGGATCGGTGTAGTGTGCTGGCCGTGGCGGCCATTTGGGGAGTGAACCAATGGAAGGAAGACCTTTTTCTCTGTCTCTGTCTCTCTCTCTCTCTCACTGTCTGTAATTCTGTCAAATAAACAAATAAAAAAAATCTTTTAAAAAAAAAAAAGGAGCTTCTTTGTAGAATTTGGTTCTAGAAAACAGAGGAAGCTGGGTTCCCCTAGACTGTGTCTAGTCCCGTGGGGCAGATCCCCCTGGGGATACAGATCACAGATAACCCTCTCCCCTGTCACTCTGCCCCGTGTGGGGAGGGCCCCCAGGAGGTGTCCCAGCGCGTGAAGGCACAGGTGAGCAGCGCCACGTGCCCTGGTTGGCTTTCACCCATGTTTGTCTTTCCCTGTCTGCCCTGCCACGAGGCACACACCCAGCCACGCAGCTGTCCACAGCAGTCCCAAGTACCCGTGGGGCTGCCCCGAGGCTACAGAAGGCAGCGGGGACAGGACGGACTCCACATCACTGTCAGCTCCAAGAGTACCTGCTCCAAACGCCTGGCTGCACCCCTTGAAGGCCCCTGCGGCTGGTCTCTCTCTAGGATACGCTCCGCTCCCTCTCATTTCCCGGGAGGCCAGAGGCCAGACCTGCAGGAGGCCAGGTGGGCTGGAGCTGCCCTGGGGCAGGGGGCACCACCCACTCACGCAGCCTGTGTTGCGCAGCACTGGCCCTGGGCCCCTCCTGGCACCTGGCTGCGTGCTGAGTGCCCATCTGTGGCCGAGGCTGATTGGGGGAGGGGAAGCCCTTAGCAGTCACCCCGCGTGTCAGTTCCGAGGGGGCAGTCCTTTCCCCAGGGGGCGGGGGGGGGACAGTGGGGTGGCCGGAGTGGTTTGGTCAGCTCTGCAAGCTTTGGCTCTTGGCCACGGCATGGGCGTCAGCTTCTTCTTACTCATGTCTCAGGCCTGTGGAAGGATTTCAGTCTTTTGTCCCAGGTGTTTCAACACACCCCATTCTTCACTTTATTTGCCAAGTATATGCTGGATGGGGTGGCCTTTGGCTCTGCGGTTGCAAGGTGGAACCCAGGAGCTACCTGATCTGGCACTGTGGTGACTTAGCACCGGCTCAGCGCAGCTGGGCCCCTCCTCGTAAGACAATAAGTCCAGTACCCGCACTGGCCCATGTGGTCTATTGCAGGCTTGCTGGTGCCCTGGGACTGTCCCCTGGACCTGGAGGCCCCTGTCCAGGGGCGTCCCATCCACCAGTCTCACTGTCAGGTCCCAAGATGCTGGGGGACAGGTTGGAGCACGATTCTAAGACAGAGGGAGCTGGCCCCGGGCCTGGCTCTCCTCCCACCAGCTGCAGGTGGGACAATGTGGTGGCCCCTGGGTGGACGGCAGGAGGCTCCATCTATGCAGACACTTCAAAAAGTTTGTGGAAAATGCTATCAGAAGATTAGTTTATCTTGGTGTAAAAAGTTTTAAAATTCATTCATAGTTGTTTTTTTTTTTTTTTTTTTTTGGACAGGCAGACAGTGAGAGAGAGAGAGACAGAGAGAAAGGTCTTCCTTTGCCGTTGGTTCACCCTCCAATGGCCACCACGGCCGGCACACCGCGCTGACCCGAAGGCAGGAGCCAGGTACTTCTGGTCTCCCATGGGGTGCAGGGCCCAAGGACTTGGGCCATCCTCCACTGCACTCCCGGGCCACAGCAGAGAACTGGCCTGGAAGAGGGGCAACCAGGACAGAATCCGGCGCCCCGACCGGGACTAGAACCCGGTGTGCCAGCACCGCAAGGCGGAGGATTAGCCTACTGAGCTGCGGCGCCAGCCCATTCATAGTTTTTTCATAATTAACATATTTCACAAGCTCTCTGAAGACCCCTCATATGCATGGTTTTCACATTTTTTGCTACAAGAATTTTTTTAAAAAAAGATTTATTGATTTATTTGAAAGGCAGAGTTACAGAGAGAGAGGGAGAGACACAGAGAGAACGAGAGAGCTTCCATCTGCTGGTTCACTTGCAAAATGCCTGCAATAGTCAGAACTGGGCTAGGCCAGAGTTTTGAGCCAAGAACTCCATCTGGGTCTCCCACATGGGTGTAGTGACCCAAGTACTCGGGGCCATGTTCCACTGCTTCCCTAGGCCATTAGCAGGGAGCTGGATCGGGAGTGGAGCAGCTAGGACTTGAACCAGCATCCATGTGGGATGTCTGCATCCCAGGGGGTGGGTTAACCTGCTGTGCCACAGCACTGGCCTCTAAGCTTATCCTTTAAATTTATTTTCCACCAACTTTTTGAGGTACCCTTGTATTTCACAGCATCTGGTCTGGGACAAGAACTCCACAGATGGCAAGCAAGATGACCACACATGTGTGAATTGGTTTTTTTTTTCCTTAATATTTTATTTATTTACTTATTTCAAAGGCAGAGTTACAGAGAGAGAGAGAGGGAAACACAGTGAGAAAGAGATCTTCCATCCCCAGGTTCATTCCCCAAATGGCTGCAATTGCCGGGAATTCCGCCTGGGTCTCCCACATGGGCCCAGATATTGGAGCCATCTTCCTCTGCTTTCCCAGGCACGTTAGTAGGGAGATGGATGGGAAGTGGAACAGCTGGGACTTGAATTTGTGCTCCTATGGGCTGCTGGTGTCGCAGGCGGTAGCTTAATTTGTTGTGCTGTAACAGCCCCAAATTCGGTCTTTTTTAAAAAAAATTATTTCAAAGGCAGAGTTATAGAGAGGCAGAGGCAGAGAGAGGGAGAGAGGTCTTTCATCTGCTGGTTCACTCCCCAGACGGCTGCAATGGCCAGAGCTGCGCCAATCAGAAACCAGGAGCCAGGAGCTTCTTCCCAGTCTCCCATGCAGGTGCAGGGGCCCAAGGACTTGAGCCATCTTCCTCTGCTTTCCCAGGCCATAAGTAGAGAGCTGGATTGAAAGTGGAACAGCCGGGACTTGAACTGGTGCCCACTGGGATGCTGGTGCTACAGGTGATGGCTTTACCAGCTACACCACAGCGCCGGCCCCCAAATTGTGTCTTTTGTGCAGTCGTATTTGGAAGTTGCTGCTGCCTGACCTCTGATCCAACCCTGCCTTTAGGTGGGCCCTAAGGTATGTCCCTGTGGCGGCCTCCTCTGGCATGAGACACAGAGGCAAAGAGGGTCAGCTACCATCTCCCCTCCTTAGAGAAACCAAGGTCCCACGGGCTGAGCACACAGAAGGCACTCAGCCGGCCCCGAGCCTCTGAGGCCGAGTCCCTGTTGGCTACTGCCCAGCGGGCTCCTCAAGCACCCCCAGTCCCAGCCCTTCCCACCCCCCAGACACCAGGACTCCTGGAGGAGCAGTGACATGAGCAGGCAGTGCTGCCGTCCGTGTGCACTCGCACCTGCTAACGTGAAGCAGCTGAGCGCTGGGACGCAGGAGCAAGGGACCTGGACAAGGGCGGGCAGCGGGGGCAGCAAAACCGGGAAAGGGCATTTTTGAAAGCGGACGTGTGTGCGTGAAACCTTGCTTACCCCATTGCAAACAGGGGTACAAGTCAAATGTGAAACGAAACTGCATTTCAAATGCCACCCCTGAAAAAAGGAATAAGAAAGTTGCGTCAGAGAATCATTTGGAAAGATTCTGATGACGAAATGTTCTATAGTTAGATCAGTTGGCAAGTGGAAGAGAGAAAATGAGAAAAATCATATAAAAAGTGTTTTTTTAAAGAAGAATGACTAAAATTTCTTGTTTAAGCTTTTTTAAAAAAATTATTTGAGAGGCAGAGCAAGTGAGAAGGGAAGGGAAGAGAAGGGGAGGGGGGGAGGGAGCCGTCGTCAGGACCAGGAGCTCCAGCTCTGACATAGGACCCAGGCAGCCACACACTTGTCCCCAGAATGTCAAAACCTTGAGAAACCAGCTGCTTTCCAGCTCCTTTTTTCTTTTCCTGGTGGTGGCAATAGAAATGAGCCTCGGTGTCATCGTGCTGCTCGATGTGTTGCTGTAACGTGATGGGGCAGCTCTGTGTTTTGTTGAAAACAATGAGGCATCCCTTAGTCTGTTGATTTCCGATTTTGATAAACATGTCACGGACTTCCTATCATTTCTTAATTTGTCATGATAAAGCTCAAACAAACCTTTTGCTGAAGGTTTACGATGGAATTTGGGCTGTTCACTAAAAGTGGCTGAATCCTGCTACTGAAGGCCCTGGGCACATACAAGACCCCTGAACAAGATCCAGTTTAGTCACGGGACCCCTCTCCAAGCGGGAAGGGGAGTAACATGTGGACCCGTGAAACCCTCTGCCCAAGGCTTGAATTTCTGCTCTCCTGGCTGCTAGCGTCAGGTGGCCAGCTTCCGCCAACGCATCTCCATTGGTCTTTGGGGCACCAGGTCTGGGGTCCCCTCTTTGCAAGGCCATTAGCTTGTCCAAGCCAGGGATAAAGGAGCACATCACACCGGGGGAGTCAGGCTTTCCTGACTGCTGACTTAGCACGTTTTTTCCCCACCATTCTGTCTCCTTACAAGCCAGCACCTCACCCCAGACACGTCACTGCCTTCCCTTTCACTGTGCGGTTGGGTCCCTTTCCTCTCTTCCGGAGTGGCCCCAAGAGGCTCAGAATCAGCTGAGTATGCAATGGCTGAGTAAGATGCACAATGCCGACGCCGCAGAGCACAGAACACTGTGCCCAGGGCAGTGAGGCTGGGAGTGGGCCCAGGGCTGGCAGGTGGAGAGGCGGCGGCTGGCCTAGGGGAGGCAGCTCGGAGGGTGGGCTCCCCTGGCCCCAGTGCCCCCAGTGTGCACAACGCCCCTGGAACTGCCACTTGGTGCTGCCTGTTGAGATTCAGGTCAAGTGAACGGGGTTCTTTGGAGAGAAGGCTGACATGATAGTGTCCCTGTCACCTGGCAATTCAGTACAAAGTCCAAAAGCACCCAGAGCCGTGATGAACACAAAGGCACTTTATGAAGGGTTTCAAAGGGTTATCGTCTTCCACTGCGGACATCCGGAAGTGTCTGTTGGGTGGGTTTTAGTCCCCGTGACGCACAGACTATCCGCGAAGACCTGGAAACAGGCCCCAAGAGGAGGTGCCCAGATCCCGTGGAAAATGCCAATGGGCCATCTGAGATCCCGTCCAGGGGTCAGCGGGGAACCCTGGCTTCCTCCACAGATCACAGTCCCCACTCCCCACCCCCCACCCCGGGGCCTCTTTCACAAACAGGAAGTGGCCCTAGAAGGACAGCTCAGTACTTGGAGGTTAAACTTAGCTAGCCCCCGACCCCTGAAGGCAAGCCACATGGGAGAGTAAACATGACACCCGCAAGAAACAGAGCGGGGTGTGTGTGTGTATATGTGTGTGTGTGTGTGTGTGTGTTTTGTTTTCCACTGCCGGGAGCACTTCTGCATCGCAAAATGTTACGCTGGAAGGTGGGCCGCTCAGCCAACACCGGCTGGCTTTTCAGCTCAGGTACTTCTGCTGCTCTACGACGCCTTCCATCGGATCAGAGAAAACACAGCGTGGACCACGTAGAGCAGAGTGGCTACGTAGGAGAACACCTGGAAACAAGAGAAAGGCTCTTTAAGGGGAGTGCATGGGGAGAGGTCTTCCGCTGCTTCACTATCCCGACACCTGCGATGTCCACGGCTGGGCCAGGCCAAAGCCAGGAGCCAGGAACTCCATCCAAGCCTCTGACAAGGGTGATAGGGACCCAAGTACTTGAGTTGTCAGCTGCTGCCTCCCAGGGTGTGTGTTGGCAGGAAGCGCGCTTGGAAGCAGAGTCAGGACCTGAGCCGGGCCCTGGGCTAGGAGACTCAGGCATGCCACGGAGCCCCTGTTTATCCCATTCCCTTGCCCTGGGTGGCCACCTTCCCAAAGGCTCGCCTGCCCGAGTCCAATTTCTGCACCTGGTGCTTTGACCTTGGGCAGGTGTGGCATGAGTTTCCAGCCCAGGTGCAACAGTCAGGGCGGCTACGCTTCCGTGACTCTAGAAAATGCTCATAAACACCAGCCAGGGCCGTGCCTGCTCTCTCTCTCTCTCTCTGCCCCTGCGCACGGGCGCACTCTTGACCCCCACTGGCCGGAGGCAATGAGCAAGCTGAGTTATTCGGCAGCACATTTAAGAGAACTCGCATGGAAACTCCCAAGCATGCTGAAGAGAGCAGTCAGGCAGGAGTGAGCAGCCCCCAGCAGCACCCGTCCCCAGCAGCTGGGAGCTGCAGACCCAGTGAGAAACCTCTGGAGAAACATCTGGGGAGTCGCCAGTAGGAACAGCAAATAGGGATTAATTGTCCCAGTGAGGCCCAGAAAAGGCCCACGGGAGGCATTTAGGGCTGGGGCCATGCCTTAGCTTCCGGAAACCCCCCTACCTAAACTGCTGTTGTGGTTGCCCACCATGGCCAAGATCTAGATAGAAACAGCCAGATTTTCCCAGAAATTGTCAGCTGCCCTCAGCCAACATCTGCCAATCCTGGGTACCAGGACCTTCAGCAAAGCAGCTCTGCCCACAGCAAAGGAGAGAGGGGTGAAGCTCTGCTTTTGATTCAGGCCCTAATTTGGAGCAGGAGCAGGGCAGGAGACAGGCTGATCGCCTCCAAGAGCCAGGAGGATAGTCCCCTCCCCAACCCCGGCCAGCCCCAAGACCATCTGAAGGGCATGTACTGTGGGTGGGAAGGGTCTGGGTGGAGGCCTGGTTAACCTCCACAGTTTTCCACCCTCGTTCTCTGCAAAAGAATAAGTCAGCTCCATGCACACGAGTGATCTCACCAACGCAAGGGTGAGAGAAAGAAGTCAGAGCAGAGCAATACACACCGTCTAATGCCACTGATAGGAAGTTCAAAGGCAGGCGCGACTGAACTGGGGGCACAGTGACGGCGACCGGGCCGAAGGGGATTCTGGGAGCTGTTCCTGAGCTCCCCTTCCTCCGTCGGGAAGCTGGCTGCCCAGGGAGGGGAGTCCAGTGTAGGAGAGGTGAGCTGATCTGGACGAGAGCTGCCTTTCCCCAGCAAGTTAAAGAGCAAAGGAGGAACACGGCAGAGCCCAGGGGTTCCCGGCTGGAGAGCTGGCCACGCCCCACCACCTGCTGTCCCACTGCACACGTCCCGTCCCCGTCTCGCCGCAGAGGCAGATGAGACAGGACTGTCCCCAGGATTCTGTGATGGAGAATCACAGATGTGCACCGGGAGCCTGCTGGCATGCTGGGAGAAGGTCCCACCTTGAAGGCTGCTCGAGAGGCTGCCAGGGCCCGGAGGTGGCCATCTGGGGACGCCATCATGGGCTGGGAGCCTCAGGGGAGCCTGTGGTTTCCCTGAGCAGGGGACCAGCCTACAGGGACCTGCAGAGGGGCTGCTCCTTCCCGGAGCAGGGAGAGGAGCCCTTCGCAAAGCCCAGCAACACCATCCCCGTGGATTTGCTCCTAGCCTCTGTTCAACCTTTTCCAAAAAGACGCCACTTCACAGCTTGGGCCCGGAGAGCCAGCACCCTGGGGTCTCTCTGCACAGGCACCCCGAGGCTTGCCAATTCTAGAAGCCAGCAGTCTCCCCAATGCAGTTCCTTCCCTGGGAAGGCTGGTGACCCCCGCCTCTGTCATCCTCCAAATGGTTCTGCCTCTCCCAGGAGCGCCTGGTCTGTCCCACTGCTTATCCAAATCCCAGACGCCTGCACTCCTAACAGACTCTGGGAGAGCAGCAGGCAGCACTCTCCCTTTGGTTATTTTTTAGCCACCCTGCATGGCACCCTGCATGGTCAGAAATAGGCTTTCTAACATCAGTTAGGATAGGAGGGGTCTTTAAGAAGCTTACGGGAAATGTCTATTAGGGAAAACTGCTCATGGGCGTCAACACCATTGCCCCAGAGCAAACTTCTCATTTAATTCTGCTTCCATGAACTTTTGGAAGGCCCTGCAGATCGGCTCCAGGACACACATGTGCACCTCTGGAAATGTTTTATGAAACAACACATCTGCAGACTCCCTCTCACACCGACCCATCCCGTTCAGCAGAGTCTGTCTCGGCCCCCGTGGCCCCCACTGCCCCTCACTGTATGCTCCAGTGGGGAGACTCCGTGGGGGTCAGGGGACCCAGTGGCCAGAGCTGACTGCTGCCAAGTGTGTGGGTGACGCAGTGCCTGGCCCCACCCGTTCCCGGTGATCACATGCTCTCTGTGCCCCACTTCTCCATCTGTGAAATGGGTACAAGAATAGTGCCCATGTCGCAGGGTTGTTGAGAGAGTGAGATGAGTGTCCCTGGGGTGCTTGGCAGTGAGGTCTCGGCTCATGCCTGCCCTCCGCATGGCCCTCCCTGGCAATGAGTCCCTGGCTCACCCACCCCAGGCTGGCACAGGGCTAAGGGAGTCTTGGGTGCGTCACTGCCCTTCTTGGGGCCTTTGTTGCTTTTGAAATGAGAGGAAAGGCCAGTGCCGCAGCTCACTGGGCTAATCCTCCGCCTGCGGCGCCAGCACCCCAGGTTCTAGTCCCGGTTGGGGCGCTGGATTCTGTCCCGGTTGCCCTTCTTCCAGGCCAGCTCTCTGCTGTGGCCAGGGAGTGCAGTGGAGGATGGCCCAAGTGCTTGGGCCCTGCACCCCATGGGAGACCAGGATAAGTACCTGGCTCCTGGCTTCGGATTGGCGCAGCACGCAGGCTGTAGCGGCCATTTGGGGGGTGAACCAACGGAAGGAAGACCTTTCTCTCTGTCTCTCTCTCTCATTGTCTAACTCTGCCTGTCAAATAAAAAAAATATAAAATATATATAAAGAAAGATTCGAGAGGAAAGCCAGACCTCCTTGGAAAGTTAGTGAACTCAAACACGGACGCCAGCCTCCTCCCTCCCCCAACTGCGCACTCACCACGGCTGCGATGTTTTCGTGGTAGTGCTTGTAGGTGAAGCCGTCCCGCATGGAGATGGTGGCCAGGGCTTCCAGGACCGAGGCGCTGAGGTAAAACAGGGCGGCGGTGCAGTGGTACGCCGCGTCCTGCAGGCAGATGAGACAGTGTCAGCGAGCTGCGGAGAGACCGGCGCCCCGCCGGGCCCCTTCGCTGTCTCCTGCCACAGCCACTGGATCCCACCCACAGCCCGCCTTCTCACAGCGCCGCCCACCTGCACGCCATCCTTGGGGTCTGGGGTCAGAGCAAGCACTTTAGTGGGGGAAGGGCTGCTGCTCTCCCTTGGGTGGGGTCCCACCCGAGGCTGGGGTGGGTGGGTTAGAACTTGGTTCTGGACATGAGATGTGGCAAACGTGGTTATGGTCCCAGCTTGGATGCGGCCTCCTGGACCAGGGCAGGGCGACAGGGGCCCAGGCCACTTCCATACATTGTGCTTTGATTTGGTGTTTTTAAATTCCTGGTATATCGGAAAGCCCAAAAAAAAAAAAAAAAAAAAAAGGGACTACAGCAGGGCTTTGCATGGCTGTAATTTGGAAGTGGTCCTCTGAGAGTGAGAAGCCCCCACCCCTTCTCCAGCCCCTCAGGGAGGTGCTGCCCCTTTCCTGGGCCTCAAAGCCAAGTTCATATAGAATGAAATCTGCAGGCCGTTTTTCAGTTCCCAAGTTCTCTCCGGCCACCTGGTTTGAACAGCAGTGGAAGGGAGCCGGGCGGTAGGCAAGGCTTGGGTCCCCCTCCAGGACCCTGCCCCTCCCACACGATGGCAGGTGCAGGTGGTGTGGGAGGGGCTTGGGCTACCGGTTAGCCATGAAGAAAGCAGTCATGTGAGAAAAAGAACAGGCCCCACGCAAACTAGCACATGTATCAGTCTGTGCCTCCACCTTCCCCTGCTCTGCCCTGGGCTGCCATGAGCTGAGGCTCGGGCTGGGAGAGCCAGCCTCCTGGGGCGGCGGGGGGAGAGGGACCAGCACTGCTCCCCTGCGAACACCCACCCGACTGCGACTCACCAGAGTGACCCAGGAACTCTCGCCGCCGTGGGCGCCGATTATGTACAGGACAAGCAGGGCGGTGGTGGCCACGAAGCAGAACACAGACACGAACATCACCCAGCCCTGCACGAGCGCGAGGGGCACCAGGGAGGAGGCGACCAGGATCCACACCAGGCCCCCGAAGACCTGCAGGGGAGGCAGAGGGGCTGAGTGTCCACCCAGCGGAGAGCCCAGAACCCGGACAGGTGCCCGGGCCCCAGACCCAGCGGTCACACTGGGGCTCTGGGGACACAGAAACGCAGGGCAGAGGCCAGAAACACTGGGCAGCCTCCCTCCTCCCCCGAAATGGCTCTCTGGCCACACCCAAGGTCTTCGGCTGGGTTTCTAACCCCAGGCTTGCCAATTCCTTGCAGGCTTGCATTTCTTATTTTTTAAACGCAATTTAAATTGTTTAAATTTAACACTTACATCACACCAAAGACCAGGCACTCCCCTAAGCACTTTACAAATATCTCCTCAGTTAATTCTCACAACTGCCCTCGGAAGGGGTGCTGATCCATTTGAAAGAGATGGGGGAGAGAGAGGGAGTGAGCATTTCCACCCACTGGTTCACTCCCCACATGCCCACAAGAGCCAAGATCGGGCCAGGCCAAAGCCAGGAGCCGGGAACTCAACTCAGGTCTCCCACGTGGGCAGCAGGGACCCAAGTACTTGAGCCATCGCCTACTGCCTCCCAGGGTGTGCATTAGCAGGAAGCTGTATCAGAAGTGGAGGAGGTGGGACTTGAACCAGGCACTCAGATATGACATGCCGACGTCCCAAGCAGCGTCTTAAACACTGTGTCATCCGCCTGCCCTGGGCTCTCCCTTTTTTATGAGGTTCCATCCCTTCTATTTTCTTTGATGCTAAAATAATATCCTTTCTTCTATGAAATGGTAATAACCAGCAGATTCTTTTAATTTTTTACTAAGTAACTACAGGCTTTTTAAAGATTTGACTCCTTTGTATTCTTAATCCCAGGAGGTGCCTGCCGGAGCTGGGTTTGGAGTGGAGAGGCTCAGGTCAGCCCTGTTTCCTGGGACAGCCAAGGCTAGTGTGAGCCCAGGGTTGTGCTAGAGACACCCAGCTGGGTCCCCAGCGCCGTAAGAACAGACACACAGGGCCCAGCAACAGCCCCAGTGCTCTGTGCTGTGGACAGGCACACGCAAGCCCTGCCTGGGCGTCTCTCTGTTGTCCTCCCCTTCTCCTGTCCCTCGTCACCCCAGCAGGAAATCCCAGCCTCATCACGTGTCCCCCAGATGAGGACTGGGCTGGGACACGTGTGGAGGTGGCTTTCCAGCTACTGCCGAGATCTGGAGCCGAGAATGAGGCTGCCGTCCTGTTCCACGTGGTACCCGACCCCACCTCCCGGACCTGCTGCCCACCTGCCAGGTGAGAGACACAGTGTCCTCGCAGGTGCCCTCTGAGCCTCGTGTGTCTGGGGAGCACCGGGAGGGAATCCCATCTGAGCAGCAAAGTCAGTGTGACAGCGCATCTGGATTTACCAAAACCATGCTGTGCTGAATGAACCACGTGCGGGTGCCTCCGGCCCCCAAATTTCCTCTGCCGATGGCCCTACCATGCCTGAGTCACCTGGCAGAGCCAGCAGGACACACTGTACCTTAGAAAAACTGGAGCGAAACCAACTCAGTAAAAGCCTCCTACGATGGCAGAAGAGATTTTATCTACAGTCACGTTCAAGCTCACGCAGACCACTGGCCTTTCCAAGAATGGGCGCCGACCAAGGCTGTGAGTGGGTCAGTGGCTGGGAAGCTCCGCGGTGCACAGAGAGAGGCGGTACTCTGCAAGGCCCAACCCCCGAGTGACCATCACCTGGTCACCTGGGTGACCTCCGGTGGGCCGATCTAAATCAGGTTCCTGGTTCATATGCGCCTCTCCCCTGAGGCTCTCAGCATGGGCATAGGTGCATCAGGGGAGGGACCGAATGCCACGTTCCCTGGGAGGGAGGTCTGCGTGGCTCACAGCCGATTCCCCTGCTGGGGGACGCAGGAAAGGCCAACCGGCCATGTGTCAGTGTCCGAGGAGGTTCGCTGGCCTTCAGCCCCTGGTAGACGGGTGTGACCGGAGGATGCCAGTGGCTGGTAGAGCTCCTGGTGGCCGGTGGACGTGACGCCAAGGAGCACTGGGAGCCATAGCAAGAAAACAAGCCTCTCTCACCCCTCAGTTTTCCTCACTCAATCAAGGAGGGCTCTGGGGGAGGCCAGAAGTCGTCGTAGAGCACGGGCAAGCAAAAGCGACCTGGCTAGTGACTTTGTTTTTGTGCTTAGGACGGTAACAGCGTCACACTGAGAAAAACAACCGTCAGACACCTACGAGGTGTAGTACTGCACAAGGTGTCACCTGCAAGCAACGAGATCTGAGAAGGTGGCCCTCAGGCCCTGGCCTCTTTCCATGGAGGCGTGGTCAGGAATCCAGGGCAGGGAAAAGAAGGCGGAAGTCAGAGTGAGACCACTGCCCTGGGTGCTCGCCACGGTCCGGTGCCTGCACCTTGCGTGGTGTGGGCCTGCGGCTCAGGTTCCAGTAGCCGCAGAGGGGAGGCCCAGAGTTAACTCAAATTCTGTTTGGGTTGTGTGCTTCTGTTGGTCTGATCGAGATCATGTTCCAGCTCTCTCTCTCTCTCTCTCACATACACACACTCCTGCGGAATCCTGGAGGCTATGGGAGGAATCCCTGTTCACAGTTGTCCACAGAACACAGCCCACCTTGTCCTCATCCCCAGCACAGTCCCTGGCAGAGCTCAGGACCCTGCCCCCGCTCTGGGTGTGTCACCTTTGCCAATGGGTTCTTTTAAAATCGAGGCCCACTCTTTTTTTGCGTGGCTTATCTGCAGCAGTAGGCTTCGTGGCGAGATGGCAGGGAGAAGTTCACACAGCACACAACCAGCCACTGAGATGCACAAGCCAGCTCGCTGGTTGCTGTATGTTTGCGGATCAGTGTGACCACTGTCGATTTCAGGACATTCTCAACCCCTCACCCCCATTCACTATCACTTCCCTGGCCCCTCTCAGCCACCACTAATCTGCTTCCCGTCTGTACAGATTTCCTACTCTGAACCACATAGGAATGAAACATGTAACGTGTAGCCATTTGTGGCTGCCTTTCATTCATAAAGCTTTTTTTTTTTTTTTTTTTTTAATTTGAGAGGCAGACAGATATGGAGACAGCATGCCCATTCACAGGTTCCTTCCCCAGATGCCCACATTGATTGAGGTTGGGTCAATGCCAGAGCCAGGAGCCAGGAACTCAATCCAGGACTCCCACATGGGCAGACACCCAACTGCTTGAGCCATTGCCACTGCCTCCTAGGGTGTGCATCAGCAGGAAGCTGGAATCCGGAGCAAGAGGTGTGTAAAACCTAGGCCTTCCAATATGGATTGAAGGCGTCCTAACCAGTGTCTTCCTAGCCCAAACAGCCATCCTCCATAATGTCTTCAAGATAAGAAATTCTCTCTCAATGGCAACTTTTAGACAATACTTCTACCATCACATCCCCTACCATGGTCCATTCTTTTTATTTTTTATTTACTTATTTGAGAGATAGAGTTACAGACCGTGAGAGGGAGAAGGTCATCCTTCTGCTGGTTCACTCCCCAAATGGCTGCAACAACCGGAGCTGCACCCATCCGAAGCTTCTCCCTGGTCCCCCACATGGGTGCAGGGGCCCAAGGACTTAGGCCATCTTCTACTGCTTTCCCAGGCCACAGCAGAGAGCTGGATCGGAAGAGGAGCAGCCGGGACTTGAACCCGGTGCCCATATAGGATGCCGGCGCTGTAGGTGGAGAATTAGCCTACTGTGCCACAGCGCCGGCCCCACCACAGTCCATTTTGACTCCTCCCACTATTCGGGGAGCCCTGGCTGAGTGTGTCTCATCTCTCTGGAACCAGAAGGAGCTGAGGATCCACTGGATCCCAGGGACATTGTTATAGAAAAAAAAATGCCACCAGCCCCTGTCTGTCCACAAACACATGCTGAACTGCCCATTGCATGGCGGTGGCATTCTCAGACAGAGGATCTCTTACACCCTGAGGGCTGTGCTCCCGGGAGACGCCCCACACGGCTCTGACCGGGAAGGGCCCAGGGGGCCAGCTGGGGCTGGGCTGGGGTGGGTGCCGGGCAGTCAGGAAAATTAGAGGAAGAGGGAAGTCATGGCAAGGCTGAGCTGAGGAGAGGCTCTGCCAGCGCTTCTCGGGGCCTGACGAGGGGCTGGCTCTCCACACCCCGGAGGCTGAGGCAAATGACTCACCTCCCTGCCCCAGCTTCTGTGTCTGTAAATGGCAATTGCAGGTGTCTCCTGGCGTCGTGGGCTGTAGCGAGCTGGCTGAAATCACGGACGTGCGAATGTTCCCCAACAATTAGGGGTGAGACGCCGCTCACCCATGAGGCTGACTGCCCAGTGGAAACAGGTACACAGGCCACCAATCACGGCCACCCTCACCCCCCAGAATATTTGGAGGAAAAATCACACCTGCACTGGACACAGATGGGCTCCTTTTCCTGGTTGACATTCTCTAAATAATACGGTCTGATGGGTATCACAGGTAATGCAGAACTGGCGTAAGGTAGACCGGACAATGTGGGGAGGTTATTTGCAAATAGGAAGCCATTTAGATAGGCACTTTGAGCTCCTGCAGGGTTTGATGTCTGTGGGGTCCTGGAACCACTCCCGCCATGGACGCTGGGAAACGATGTGGAACAGCACATGGTCCCAAGGGAGTCTTGAAGGCAGATGTAGACTTCACCTGGTCATCTGGTGAAAGGGCCAGGGAGAGGCCCTCTGCGGCAGGAGAGCCCTAGGGGATGCCGCCGTGCCTGCGCAGGCTTCCAGGCCCCGCTGAGTGGGAAGCTGAGATTCACTGTGAATCACGGGAGCCCCGCCCTCTCCACCTACTAAGTGTACAGTGAGTGGGGATAGCCGGCACTGCGCCCACACCCAGGGAGATAAGGCACTCCTGGGCCGTGAGCAGGCCGCTCCAGCCCAGCCTCGGGTCCCCCTGGCCAAATATTTGTCAAGAGCAGCAGGGTAGGTGAGGGTTCAAGCATTTCCCTTTATCAAGAAGCCTGGAGGTGGCTCCCAGCTTCCAGGTGGCAAATTCTCAGAGACCATTATTTTGAAAAGGTTACACAC